GGGGGGGGGGGGAGAAATTATAAAAATGGGTGAAAAATAGTTTGATGCTAAACGGTCGCATGAAATTTGAAATTTTGAATAGTTTAATGAATTTGTATATTAAAACTTGAAAATTTTACTAAAATAGAATGGTGACGAGCGACTCGGCACGTATCGAAACGGAAGATTGCCATATAACTTGGAGTAGATGCAGTAGAATTAGGGCATCCTCTGTTCAAAATCAATAATCTTATTTTCTTTTTTGAGGATCAGGAGACAAATTTTAAAACTAAATTATTGTTAGATTGTAATGATTCGGCCGGTCGTTTTGAGTATTGTAACCTCATTCCCCCATTCATTTCTCATTTGTTGTTATGTGACTTGCCGAGGTGGTTGGTTTAATTTCGGGGATGTTTCGGAACGAGTTGGGACATTTAGTCCCAAGGTTGGAAGCCTAAGTAGAAAGAGTTGACCAGATGTTGACTTATATGTAAATGACTCCGAAATATAGTTTTGATGGTTCCGATAGTTCCGTATGGTGATTTTGGACTTGAAAGTATTTCCGGATATTGATTTGGAGGTCTGTGGATAATTTTGGTTTGAATTGGCGAAAGTTGGAAAAGTTGCAGTTTGGAGAGTTGAGACCGAGAGTTGACTTTGTCGTTGCCGAGCTCAGATTTTGGTTTCAGAAATTGGAATAGGTCTGTTGTGTCATTTATAACTTGTGTGCAAAATTTATGGTCAATAGGAGTTGCTTTGATAGGTTTCGGCATCAATTGTAGAGGTTCGAAATTCATTAGTTTTATTAGGCTTGAAATTGGGGTACAATTCGTGTTTTTGATGTTGTTTGATGTGATTTGATGCCTCGACTAAGTTCGTATCGTGTTTTAGGATTTGTTGGTATTTTTGGATGGGTCTCGTGGGCCTCGGGTATGATTTGGATCAAGTTCGGCTTCATTTTTGGCTTTGTGGAATTTTTGGAATTCTGATCTGGTTTTCTTATTCGCGATCGCATGGGAAGGTTCGCGATCGCAAAGGCTTAATTGGGCGACTCAGGAGTTGCTTTATGCGATCGCGAGATATGGTCTATGATCGCGGAGCTTTGGTTGTTCATGCATCGCGAACGCGGGTATTGGGTCGCATCCGCGAAGAAGGAAGGGGGAGGCCTAGGAAGCCCACACGTTTATTCTTCGCGATCGCGTGAGGGAGACCGCGATCGCGTAGGTTTGAGATTCTGTGAACCGCTTTATCGATTGGTTGTTCGCGTTCGCAAAGAATAATTTGAGGGCAGCATATAATTGTTCTTCACGATCGCGAGGGACTTTCCGCGATCGCGAAGAAGAACAACTGGGTAGAATATATAATTTCAAAAATGAGGGTTAGATTATTATTTAACTTTTGGACTTTGGGAGCTCGGATTCAGGCGATTCTTGGAGGGATTTTCAAGGAGTCGATTGGGGTAAGTGATTCTAACTCGGATTTGGTTAATATACATAAATCTATCATTGCTTTCATTTAATTAGTGTTTTGGATTGGAAAATTTGGGAAAATTTGTAAATATTTCATAAACTATAATGCGGGGATTTGAAGGTCGAGTTGAGATCGGAATTGAGTAATTTTGGTATGGTTGGATTCGTTGTTGAATGGGTGTTCAGATTTTATTAATTTTGTCGGATTTCGAGACGAGGGCATGGGATTGACTTTTGTTAAAAAACCTAGCTTTATCATATGGAATTGATTCTTATAGCTTGTATTGATTGTATTAAGTTATTTGTGGCTAGATGCGAGTCGTTCGGATGTCGATTCGTGAGGCAAGGGCTTGTTGGAATAGTGATTTGCGCAGTTTGAGATAAGTAATACTTATAAACTTGGTTCTGAGGATATGAATGCCTGAAATATGTGTGATGTGGTTGGTGTTGAGATGACGCACATGCTAGGTGACAGGCGTGCTAGGTGACGGGCGTGTGGGCGTGCACCATGGTAATTCTGACTTGGTTGATTCTATGGTACTGTGTAGTTATTAAACCTTGTTTCTATTCATGAAACTCCTACTTGTTAGAGTAATTGAGCTACAGTAGATGTTAGAAATCATGCTTAGATTGTATGCTTGTTCTGTTGGTACCCACAGAGGTCACTTCTTCTTATTGAATTATTTGCTTAAAATGCAATTATGTACTCAGTCACATCTATAATTAGCATATCATATCTCAGTCTCTATTTCCATTTATTATTACATTATATTATCATTGTTTGGGATGATTGTCATGAGATTTGTGAGCCCGAGAGACTGGAGAGGTTGATGACTAAGTGAGGTCGATGGCATGATTGTGAGTGATATTTATGGGATCAGACTGCACGCCGCAGCATGCTTTAATGATTCATGCCATGATTGGCTTATATTAGCACTTGGGTAGGATCCGCCTCTTCAGAGTCTGACATATCAGCAGTGAGCGCATGTAACTACTGAGTGCGAGTGCCGAGTAATTGAGAGTGCTGAGTGATTGAGAGTGCTGAGTGATTGAGCTTGCTGAGTGAGGTTGAATACTCCGACAGTATGAGTATTTGGCTTTATCACTTTGTTGCATTGCATTTGACATGCATTCTTGGCATGTTGATATCGAGATGTAACATACCTCATATTAGTCATACTTGGCAAATCTATCCATGTTGAGCTCAAACTATTAAATACTTGTAAGTATGTCTACATTTTTGTTCTATCTACAAACTGATTATGAGATTTTCTCTAAGCTATTACTGTCATTTTCCTGTCATATCTGTGTTGTTATTATCTGGATTGGACTGTACCTTTCTGAGCTCGTCATGGCTTTCAGCTCAAGGTTAGTCCTCTTACTGCTTGAGTACATTCAGTCGGTTGTACTCGTACTACACTCTACACTTCGTGTGCAGATCCAGGTACTTCTGGGCACGGCGGTTGCTAGATTTGGAGCTTCATCTGCTTGGAGACTTTTGAGGTAGCTGCTTTGGCATCCACAGACCTCGACTCTCCTTATTATCCTTTATTTAGTATTGTTCTACCTTTCCAGACAATTGTATGTGAAGTCTTGACTGTATTGTCATTTAGATGCTCATGTACTCATTGACACCCAGATTTTTGGAATTTTGTATTTGAGTTGCAGTATTTCTTATCGACTATTTATGAGAGTTATAACTATTAAACATGTTTTATCTTGTTTTCAATTTAAAAATGTGTAGTTAATTGTGTCGGCTTGCCTAGTACTTTGATAGGCGCCATCACGACGTGTTGAGTTTTGGGATCGTGACAAGTTGGTATCAGAGCCTAGGTTACATAGGTCTCCCGAGTCATGAGCAGGTTTAGTAGAGTCTTGCGGATCGATACAGAGACGTCTATTCTTATCTTCGAGAGGCTACTGAGCCAATAGGAAAACTTCACTTTCCTGTATTTTTGTCGTGCGGATTTGTTGATTCCGGAAACTAAACTTCTGCTATTATATTCTCTCACAGATGGTGAGGACACGTGCTACCCAATCGAGCGGATGGGCACCAGTACCACCAACTAGGGCCACGAGAGGCCAGGGCCACGGTAGAGGCCAAGGTGCAGCTCATATAGCATCTAGAGCAGCACCTATAGATCCATCAGTTGCTCCAGTTTAGGAGCAGATCCCAGATGTGGTTGAGCCGATGGGACCAGTTCAGGCACCAGGTGTGCCCATTGTGATTCTAGGCCCTGAGAAGGCTTTGGCCCAGATATTGACTGTATGCACTAGGCTTGCTCAAGCGGTTTCAGTTCAGGCTGCACCAGCCACTTCTCAGGCCGGGGGAGGTGCTCACACTCCCGCTGTTCGTACTCCAGAGCAGGTGGTTCAGGGACTTCAGACACT